CCTTCGAAATCACATTGCCCGTGCAATAGACTAGTATTTTTTAAAAGAATGAGACGGGACTAAGAGGGTGTCTGTGGCAAATTTTGGCAGAATTTTAATCTAAAAGCCGACCGTTAGTGGGGCCTGCATGTGTGATGGCCGGTCAACTTTTACGGCTGAAAGGATGTGCAACGTTCTGAAAATGAATTATTTTGGCCAATTTAATTGATACCAGACAGGGCCTAAGTTTCTTGACTGCAATCGAAAATTGCCTAGCAGTTGAGCAGCGGCCGCAAAGGCAAAACTCAAAATACTGCAAGGGGCCTGTAATATTCGCCCATGTTCAGCCCAAGAGGCGCCTACAACTTAAAGAGTTCACCTTATTGGGCCGAACCTATGGGCCTAACCAGCCTACTCTAATTTCCAGTTTCAAAAATAGCATTGCAGATAAAACACGTGGATTTCGTGGAATAAGTAATAACTTATCAATTTGAAAAGATTTTCCCATGTATTATGATTAAATAAATAATATTTACCTCCAAAAGGTACCAAAAAATAAAAATAAAAAAAATTAATGATGTTAATACATTTATAAGCCCTCTTCGACAACTATTATTGGGTAAAATGAAGTTTTAAATAGTAATTTTTTGCAGAATGTGTTGTTAAAAAGTGGAAAAAAATTGAATTTACGTACAAAATATTTTATTTTGTATATGTATGGTCGAAAATAAATATGTAGAAAAAAGAGTTGAAATAATAATTGTCAAACGCATGCTAAATAAGTGGAAAATTCAACCGGCCAAATGATTTCTAGAGTACATATACCAAGTGAATATGTACCTAACTTACGTAGGGATCTTTCAAATCTTGACTTTTCATACATGTACCATGAAAATTCTTACTTGATTTGTCTACCTTTACAAAAGGAAATCCTTTGAGGATCGACTTCAAGTTTAATGACAATGTTGAAAATGCAAATGCACCTTTAGAAAGAAATAATATGTGAGAATGAATAGAATACGAGATTCTCAACCACTTTTTTCGACTTTGAAATAAAGTGGGCACCGAAAAAAAACATTAGCGAGTCGTTAAGCTCTTGAATTAAAGGAAAGGGCCCATTATTTTTTATTCCACATGCAATTGTGATATATAAGTATACGTAGAGCCAAGAAAAGAAATCGATTTAGGATGAAAATAAAGAAATTATTACCCTTGATGATTATTATATCTAATTAAATAACTCTACACAAAAAGGAAAAATATTTTAATTTTCTAGTAAGCCGTGAGCTTCGATTGGAGTTTTCCTTAGACGCGATAACTCGTTAATCTAGCGATCTCAAATGTCCTTCTTGTGTTATTACTTGTAAGCAC